ACCACTGATGTGACTGTTACCGATGATAGGACATTTCCTGATGAAGTAGATGAACCCCACATGAAGTAGAAGCCAACGAGATGGAGACCAGTGCGGAAGAAGATACGTCCCGTAAAATTAAGAGACTTTGCTGAATTTTAATTTTGTGGTTGTAAATTCTGTACTATTTAATTAAGTTATTGTTAATTGGTTTAATGTAAGTGGCTATTGTTCGGGACGAACAATACTAAGGAAGGGGCAGTGTTACGACAGCGGAGGTCACGTGACCCACCACCTGTAACAAGACCACCAAAGAGACCTTTTTCACTTGGACCACCCCAAACTGTTAAACGTCCAGATAGACCACTCCCTGATGGAGGAATGCCACCTTGTGCCTTATCTGGAAAAAATTTTTGTATTCTGACGGACGATTATCCATCGTGAGTAGATTCAAATAAAAACTATTTATAAATGACAATTAACTTTTCTGTTAAGGAATTTTTTTATAATGAACAATGTTGTCAGTATAATGGGAATGAGAAATATGAAAACTGTTCGATATTTAAATGAGAATTTTCTTGAAATGTTTTTTATGAATCATTCTCAAACACACCTGTCTTCCACTAATGGCAATAATCGTACAAGGGTTGCTAATGCTTTATAATTTTAATATATATTTTTAGTGAATGAATATCAAATTGTATGATTATCTAATTGTTTACTTCAAACATTTTGAAATCGTTTAAATATTGCGTTGTAATCATTAATAAATAAGTTCTATTGTCATGCAAATTTTCTGATTTAAAAGAATGTGTGTAAATACTTGAATCGTATTACGTGAAAACTTAAAGGCTAAATATAACGTTGTTTGTTCAGAATAAATTCATACAACTCATTATGGAAAATGTTACTGGTTAAATAATGTTACATTTTTATTAAACACAGAATTTTCTTTTTTCTAAGTCGTCTCTTAAATATAACTTAAAAAATATCAGAAAGAGCTGTTAAAGATTAAGATAGTTATAAAAGCATTGTCATTAATTAAGTTTCGTGAAATGTATAAAACCTTTAAGTGAAAACTTCCAAACATTCGTTATTTATGCACCATTTTTTTATACTCCATACCGTTGTAGTAATTCAATACTATCTTGTCTAGAGTAATTTATACCTTACGTTTTTTCTATGTTTAAAGAATCATTGGTAATACTTCAAGCGACGGTTTTTATGATGTGTGTGTAGCTTGACGAAGGTTTTTATTAGCACTGAAATTTTATATATGTTATTTCAACGACAGAGATTTTGTTGAAAAGATGATGGACGAGGAAATGAAGGTCAAAATTAAAATTATGTACGAAGAACTTCAAACCGTTGGAGATCCAGAGCTCTTTGAAAGCCACCTTGGAGACGGTCCGGCTGCGCGAGGGCAGTTTGCTTGTGAAACCGAAGCTAATGTCATGCGTCCAGGATGGGTTCAAGATGCAATTTCTGGAGACTGGATGGTTGTCATTAACAACGATCTCTTTCCTCAGAAAATCCGAACAGAGAGCTGCAAGTAAGTATATTGGTTCACGTGTTGACTGCAAATCGTTAAAAAGCACAACTATAACCATATTCAGTAAGTTGGAAATACTTTGGATAGCAAATACACAAAACATACTGTGCTGATATTGAAAAAAGAAATATTTTTTTGTGGTCTATTGTCTCATCAATTTAAACATATTTGTGTCTTCTGCAAATACTAAGTCATATAGTAGGGCTTGATTACACTACCAAAACATAAAAGATGCTAACTACAGTGTTTTATGACTATGTAGTTATCGCTTTAAAATATAAACTATAACTTATAGGTACAGGAATCAAATTCCTCAAGGACTATCTGTAAATACTTTTTACCAAATTCTTGCGCTTTTTCTTTATATTTTTGTCGACCTAAAATGGTACAAAAAGTGGAACTTGAAGCAAAAGTTATGATGAGCCAAAAGAAAATACATATCCAAATTCAAACTAACATAATAATGTGTTCTAAAATTATAAAATAACAAAACCCTGAATTAAAATATATTTTTTATTTATTCTCTCTTTAATAATATAACGTTATTCAAGTAAATTATATAAAAGCCTAAAAAAATTTATAACTGGATAAATGTGGAAAAATAAAACAATTACTAGCGGTTAACACTTCACTTCATAATTACAGGGAATACAATTAATCAATTAAGATAAGTAACGAATCTAAAACATGTTCATTTATTAACTCAGTATTTTGTTTCTTTCTTCCTTGACTATTACTAGTGGTTAACACTTCATTTCATAATTACAGGGAATACAATTAATCAATTAAGATAAGTAACGAATCTAAAACATGTTCATTTATTAACTCAGTATTTTGTTTGTTTCTTTCTTAACTGTAGGAACCCGAACAAACCATGTTCATTTATAGAATCGTTTTATGAGTCAGTTTGTCAACAAAGATTTAGTCTGCATCGATTAATTGCCGTCCACCCCTGGAATCCAGAACGCAGCCCTGTGGTGGCGCTATTCAAGTTTCCAGCTGGATGTTCATGTCGTGTGGCCCCGATAACTCAGAACAGTGGATAATAATAAGATTTTATACATTTTGTTTATTCAGTGAAGTACACTGTATTAACATTTTAAAGCGCTTTAGAACTATCTTATAATTAAGAATCAAGTAATCTGCTTTTTTCCTAGTTATATTATTAGAATCATTAGACTTTAGCAAATTTTAAAATGTAACATTTTTTCTTGTTATCTTTGTGTAAAACTTTAGTTTGAAAATTTCTTTGGAAAAAAAAATCAATATTTACACTTTCGCCTATATAGTTTATTGAAGTTTTCATGAAATGTTAGCCTTTTTTAATATTTAAACATCAAATTATAATGTAAAAATAGCAACATTCGCAAAATAGTTGCCTTTACTACGATTTTAGATAAGTGTGATCCACACAATCAAATTGTATGATTTAAAAAGATATATATATATATAAAGACGTAAATATATTTGGCGAGAACTGAAGGTCTGAACATAACGTTATTTGCTCAAGCTAATTCCATATAACTTACTTTTCATAACAATTTACACTTTTTAAATAAACTAGCCGAAGATACCCTCCCGTTAAGGAAGCAAAAATAGTATAAAGGACAATGTTCCCCTCCCTTTTTTTCCTTATTATTAAATCCCTAATAATTTCATTAGATGCTAATTGTACACCCTACTTTGTGGAAGGTAATAACTGGTTTATTCAACTCATTGAGTACTTGTTTGTTTAAACTCAAAACCAAAAGTCTATAGAAAAAGTGGAAGTGTGCTCTATTTCAGAATGTTTTTTATCCCCTTTTCTGGTAAATATTGTAAAACAAAAGAACCCCTGTACACTGTCGGACAGTTTCCAGTTACCATACGGAAAATTACGGTAATTGAGTAAGCCAACTCTGGGTGATGGATGCTAACACACACACACTTTAGAGTAAGAAAGTAAGAAAAACGACAATGTTTCTTTTAGGAAAATGTTTTAAGTTCATTTTGGATGTAGATAATATAGGTTAGTAGAAAATGTGTCAATAACAACAGTAATTGCTGAAAAATAATGGCAGAAAATACGAATTTCTTAAAGCTTGATATTGCTTAGGTAGCTTATGTAAATGTAGCGTCCACCCTGATGGTCAGATGTTTAAACAAAGTTTTGAAACTTTTCAAAAGTGAACTTGAAAATATTGTGTAACATAAAACTGGAATGTATAAAAAGTAAAGTTTACTTAACTGAATAGCTAGAAAAGAATTCAAATATATCCTTATATTGTCACACTACCTTACAACTATGTAACTATATAAGAACAGTTTGCTTTTTAAATTACATATAAAACTAAAAATAAAGCAACGAACAGTAATAAACTAACCCAATGTATACGTTAGAAATAATCCACGTGATACTAAAATTACTGATTTTTTCTTTCCACTTTTAGGCCCGGCATGGCCAAGTGGTTTGGCCGCTCGACTCGCAATCTGAAGGTCGCGGGTTTGAATCCCCGTCACACTAAACATGCTAGCCCTTTCAGCCGTGGCTATAATGTGACGGTCAATTCGTTGGTAAAAAAGTAATGTTATGTCTCTGGTCGTTAGTTAATTTTCCGTAAAAATTCTTTCTGAAGAAACCTTAACGATACACTTAATTTCCACAGTCGCGCTATAACAAACGCTATAATTCACAACGAACGTCTCACGTGCTCGACTCAACAATACGTCTCTCTCTGTCCGCAGTTCTGTTACATACATTGTTGCCGTCACGTCTTGACCGTCTTATATGTACAGGAATACCGAAATCTAGTAACCTCTCGAGGTTTCATGAACGTTCTAGAAGCGCATGACGTGTTACAAGGCCTAGGTCTAGTAACAGGAGGTGGACGTTTGATGGGAGGTCGAGTTACAGGTGGTGGTCTAGGTCTGGGTACAGGTGGAGGAGGCCTTATAATTGGTGGTCTTGTTATAGGTGGAGGTCTAGGTCTGGGTACAGGGGGAGGAGGCCTTATAATTGGTGGTCTTGTTATAGAAGGTGGTGGGCCAAAAATTGGTGGAGTGGCATGAATATGAGGTCTAGCGGTAGGATCGGTCACTTCTTGGATATAATTTCGCCACCAAACTTTCCACCAGTCTCCAGCAGGACCTCCTGAAGAAATTCTAGCGGCTCGTTTTTGGAGAGATAATTCTCTGCTTCTTGATAGGTGACAGTTTGTTGCTATTAGCGTATAGAAAGATAAAACGAAGACTGTCCAGATCTAGAAAAAATTAACCATTGGAATATTATTTTATCTTCATCTATCTACCTATGTAGCTTAAAAATATATATACATACATTTATTACGAATTATTCAAAACATGATATAGTATATATTTATTGAATAATATATTGTTTGTTTGTTTACTTATTGTTAAGCACAATGCTACACAACGTGCTCAACACGGGTATCGAAACCCTGTTTTTAGTGTTATAAGCCTTCAAACTTACCACTGAGTTACTAGAAGCTGAATAATATCTTATATTTGGTTGTTTTTTTTTCATATAACGATGTTTGTATAACTTAAATAGAAGTCAATAGTATTGTGCACATTTTTCATTAGGTTTATCAAGATAGCTGCCACGCAGTGACTTAGCGGTAAGCCTGGAGGCTCATAACGCTAAAAACCGGGTTTCAGTGCTCGTGGTGGCCATAGCACAGATATCCCAGTTTGTAGCTTTGCGCTTAACAACAAACAAACAAACAAAAACCAAGAACACTTGGGAGGTCGTCACAGAAAGTTTGACGCTAAAAATATTTTTTTTTCTTGTAGACGATATTATGTGTTTTTAACAATTTATTGTAATATTGTT